TTTTTTTTTTTTTTTTTCTTTTATATTCGTTTAGAGACAGGGTTTTACCATGTCGGCCAGGCTGGTCCTGAACTCTTGACCTCAGGTGATCCGCCCTCCTGGGCCTCCCAAAGTGCTGGGATTACAGGCATGAGCTGCTGCTCCCAGCTGACTTTCTATTTTAAAGAGAGTACCCCTTAGGGCTCCAAGGTCTCTGGACAAGTAGATCTCTCTAGCCCCACCTTCAGCCCTAGTCCACTAACCAACAGACAGTATCTTTTGTGTGCCAGGTCTTGCCCTGGGCTCTAGGAACAAAAGAAATGAATCAGTCATAATTCCTGTCCTCAGGGAATTCTCAGCCTACTGGAGGAAGACTGCTAGGTTAAATAGACAGTTAAATACAGTGTGGAAAGTGATTTGGCTTGTTTATTCAAGCACAGGGCGAAGTCACTGCCTGTCCATCGCAGAGGGCTGCCGTCCTGCAGCCAGCCTTATCTCCAAGGAGGCCTTTCTCCGCCAAGGAGGGAGGTTCTTTGTGAAACCTTCAGCTTCCAAACCTCCAGCTCCGGGCTCCCAAACCCCGCCTTCTCTCCTGGCTGTGGTGCGTTACCATGGAAGCCGTAAGCCCCTCGCAGCTCCCTGCGGTTCCACACCCCTCCCCCTTCACCATCTCTCTCAGCTCTTTGTCCTGTGGCTGCAGATGTCCTCCCGGGCTGATCAACTCCCGAACTTTCCCCAGACTGGGAATTATTATTCCCATTTGAGGTGGAGAAAAACTGAGACCCAGAGGCTTGAGGGATTTGCCCCAGGCCCCTGGCAGCCATTACTGGCAGAATCCCAAGCACAGGTTCCCTCCAAGCATCACCTACGACTCCCCGGCAGCCACTCCTCTGTGTAGCGGTCATTTTGCAATCCTGTCGACCGAAGATTGTGTTTCCTTTTTTCTTCTTTCCTTATCTTTGGTAGTTTAACTTTTTATTCTAAGAAAATCAGAACATGTGCTGACTAAACCTTGAAGTAACTTGAAGTTCAGTCTTTACATTAGTGACTTTAAATCTATTCTTGGATATGTTGTTTAAGTCCTTTGTGAACTGAAAATAGTGCTGGATGAGAAAACCTGCCAAAAAGCTATCACAGAATATACCAACCCTGATTATGCTGATGAAACAATGGTAGTCATATTTTTGAGCATTGCAATATGCCAAAATGCATTCCGAAAAACCATACGTGACCATGCAACAGAGAATTTGAACACATTATACCAAATAGAATTGTTTATATAACTACGAAAAACAAGGCTATCGAAACCTTGGCATATGGAAAATAGAATTTGTCCTGCAAGGCTGGGTTCCAATCCCAATGTGGGAAGTAAAAAAGTTCGTCTTTAAAGTTCCTTTCTTGTTAAAGAATAAATCGTAAGTGTGCTAATAACTCTTTGTTAAGCCCTATCCTATGTAGCTATTAGACATGCCATGCTTATAGGCAGGTAGTACATTCTACGTCCTTGTACTTTAACCAAGATATCTATGCTGGACATGCTCACAGACATGTCCCAGCTCTCCATTGCTTTCATCTGTTTAGAAAAGTTTTTTTTTGTTTTTTTGGGGGGGTTTTTTTTTGTTTTGTTTTTTGAGACGGAGTTTCGCTCTTGTTACCCAGGCTGGAGTGCAATGGCGCGATCTCGGCTCACCGCAACCTCCGCCTCCTGGGTTCAGGCAATTCTCCTGCCTCAGCCTCCTGAGTAGCTGGGACTACAAGCACCCGCCACCATGCCCAGCTAATTTTTTTGTAGTTTTAGTAGAGACGGGGTTTCACCGTGTTGACCAGGATGGTCTCGATCTCTTGACCTCGTGATCCGCCCGCCTCGGCCTCCCAAAGTGCTGGGATTACAGGCTTGAGCCACCACGCCCGGCCTAGAAAAGTTTTAAGTTGTTAGCCAATCGGGTTTTATTTTAGATTGTGAGGTCTGGCTCCAGCCAATGGAGATCAGATGCAGCAGTAAGGACAACCCCAAATGCTAAGGGATAAGTATGTTTTCCTTTGTTCATTGTACTCTCATAGCAAGATGGCCAGCAAGGGTACCCTTCCTGCAGTCCAGGAAGTAAAAATCATGTTGCTGAAAAATTCTTTGTCTCAGCGCTGATTTTTCTTTGTGGCACTGAGCATCTGTTTCCAACACCCAACCAGCCCATTTTATTTTATTTTTAATTTTTATTCTAAGACAGGATCTTGCTCTGTGCCCAGTCTGGCATGCAGTGGTGCAATCATGGCTCACTGCAGCCTCAACCTCCCCAGCATAAGTGATTCTCCTGCCTCAGCCTCCCAAGTAGCTGGGACTATAAGTGTACACCACCACACCTGGCTAATTTTTGTATTTTTAGTAGAGACGAGGTTTTGCCAAGTTGCCCAGGCTGGTCTCAAACTCCCAGGCTCAAGCAATCCACCAACCAGCCCATTTTGATCTTCTGCACAATACTTAACCTGAAGGTATAATCCACCCACTCCTATGTGATGTCTGTGTAGATGTGAAAGGACTTTGGAAGTTATGATGTGCTCAACAGATGTTATTTATTGTTATTAAATGAAAGTTGGGGAAAGATCTCCTAAATTTCTTTCCAAGGGGCTCTAGTTGTCAGATTGTTCAATTTAGAAATTTTCTTTTCTTTTTTTGAGATGGAGTTTCGCTCTTGTTGCTCAGGCTGGAGTGCAATGGTGCAATCTTGGCTCACTACAACCTCTGCCTCCCGGATTCTCCTGCCTGAGCCTCTCGAGTAGCTGGGATTATAGGCATGAACCACCACGCCCGGCTAATTTTGTATTTTTAGTAGAGACGAGCTTTCTCCGTGTTGGTCAGGCTGGTCTCAAACTCACAACCTCAGATGATCTGCCCACCTCAGCCTCCCAAAGTGTTGGGATTATGGGATGAGCCACAGCGCCCAGCCCAATTCTGAAATTTTCTATTGTTAACATATGTGGTGCTGAAGGTCTGTGATTCTAGAATCCTGAGGCTGATTCTAATTCCAGAATCCTGTGTATCTGACATTCTCTGACTCTATCCAAGTGAGAGGTCAAGGTCTGAAGGCCAGGGCAGGCTGCGTACAGAGGTCAGCAGGAGGATCCTAGGCCCCTGGGGCGGAAGAGTTGTCCCTGATGTCTTCTACTTGGGCTCACCCTTGAAGCTACAATCTGATTATCATTCAGACTTATCATCAGCTCATCACCCTTCCTCCAGCCAGTTTTCCCTGGGGCCTCATTTTATGCATTATCCATATTCATTACACATTTTTCTTCCATTAAGTCCAATTAAGCCACTTTGCCAACACTGCAAGAACCGAAACCTCCCTCGATAAATGTGGGCCCAATAAGAGCACTAGAGGAGGCCCTAATTTAGGGCAACTCTACCCATCCCTTCCTCCCTCCCATCCCGCTTCTCCAGCACCAACCCCCCACTCTCCTGTACCCCAGATCACATGGTAGCTGCAGAAGCACTCCTTTCTGCAAGTTCCGGTACATGGTGTTCCGTTCCTGATGACCTCACAGGCAGCTGCTGACTCACCCCAGTTTACTAATGCACCAGGTAGCCATAAAGTGCAGCACCATGTGCATGTGTGAGCTCACATGTGTGAACACCACCAGAGCACCAGCCCTGGACTGTGGAGTTTGAGACCTGGATTCTAGGCTGCCACTATTTACAGAGTTACCTTGAGCTAGTGCCTTCTTCTCTGTCTCAAGAGACTATTCCAGCCCTGCTGGCCTCACCAGGTTGTTTGGAGACTTATGAATGAATGTGTTAGTAATACATTGCACTACAATGTGTTATGAAGTAAAGTGATATCTCAATGCAGTGTACCAGCTGGGCATGGTGGCTCATGCCTATAATCCCAGCACTTTGGGGGGCCGAGGTGGGTGGATCACTTGAGGTCAGGAGTTCAAGACCAGCCTGGACAACATGGTGAAACCCCATCTCTACTAAAAATACAAAAATTAGCTGGGTATGGTAGTGGGCGCCTATAGTTCCAGCTACTCAGGAGGCTGAGGCAGGAGAATCACTTGAACCCAGGAGGCAGAGGTTGCAGTGAGTCGAAATCGTGCCAGTGCACTCCAGCCTGGGCGACAGAGCGAGATTCTGTCTCAAATAAATAAATAAATTTAATTAAATAAACGCAGTGTACTACCATGATGCCCATGTTCAGCCCCCATAGCACCACCTGCTGTGTGACCACAGGCAGATCATTTTACTTCTCTGAACCTTAGTTTCTGTGCCCGTGTGGTGTGTGTGTGTGTGTGTGTGTGTAGTTTTTTTAGTGCTTATGCTGGGCATTGTGTCTGGCATGTTACGGGGTTTACTCTGTACCAGTCAGGATTCTCAGTTGTAAACAACAGAAACCATCTCTGGCAAAATTAAGCAAAAAGAGGCTTTACTGGAAGGCTATTGAATGTCTCACTGAAATGACAGGGAGACCGGAAAGCTAGACAAGAATCAAAGGCAGCTGGGCACAGCCAAAGTCCTGCCATGGGAACTACCTGTTAAGGACAGACTCAGCCTCTAGCCACACAGATACTTTTTCATTACCACTGCACTGCTGGGCTCTTGGCCCACTGCAGCCACCTGAAGTAATCTCGGACTGTCCTTGCCCCTCTGCTAACTGCCACCAGACTGAGAGCCCATGTAGGACATCAACTTGGCCAATCCCAAGCCCACAAGAGTCAGGAGGAGTTGCTGCCTCCTCCAGCCCCCACATAGCTTGGAATTCCTTCAAATAGGGAGTGTTTGGATGCTGGGCAGCCCAGATCAATCAATGTCCACTATCGTCTTCACCAATCCCGAGTCTGGTAATTACATTTTACAGGTGAAGAAACTGAGGTTCTGAAAGGTTTATATACTGGTCACCCAGCTGGTAAGTGGGTACACAAACACCTACCTTGCAGAAATGGAAGAAATAAATGGGTGTAGTCAGCCCATTTATTCTTCATTCTTCAAAGAGGAAAGAGTTCATTCCTCTTTCCCCTCAGTAATAGCTTTTGCTGGGAATGTTTGCTCTGCCACAGGGAAGGCTTTCAGAGATTTGCTCACATTCTCTATGACCCTGCAGCTGGCTCCTAACTTCCTGATGACAACCACAATTGTAATTCATTCCAAGAGATTGACTGCTGTGGAGACAGACCACCACCACCACCATCATCGTTATCGTCATCATCATGTTGCTTTTAGCTCACAGGAGCCTCATAAAACCCTATGAGGTAGATATTACCTCAGTTTACCAAATGAGAAAACTGGGGCTCAGAGAGGGTTTCCTGGTTGTCCCAGAATTACAAAGCAAGTCAGAGCCAGAATCATATATCTAGATATTCTGTCTCCAGAATCCACTCTATCACATGGCCTCTATTTCAGAGAAGCAGGACATCCGGCATTTGCCGTAGACAGGGATCATCAAGGCAGGAAAAGATCCTAGCCATCTTTGCATACTTTCTGCTTTCTCACTGATAAGAAAGCTGAGTTCTGGAGAGAAGTGCCCTGCCCAACCTCACACAGCACCATTGGTGAAGCCTCCGTGGTTTGAATACAGTTCTCTTGCCACCCACTGTAGCAACCGTTCCCCACACCATCATGGAGCTCATTTTAAAGTTGAAGTAACTGAGATGGTCACCTGGGGAGTAAATGGCCCACCCAGTTATTGGGATGAGGACCTAGCTAATGTGTGGGCCCAGAAGAAAGGCCATGGCAGCAAGCTGGCTGAGAGGCAGCAGGCTTTGCACTTCCAGAAAATTCTGTTCTCTCAAAATCAGGAAATGTCCCCATACGTTAAGAGACAGTTATTCTCTCTCCTGGTTGGAACTGATTGCAACAGACTTCAATTTGTGGGTTATTGGGGCAGCTGGGGAAAATCTGAAGGTAATTAGACCCAGGTAGTCCAAATGTGTGGCCCAAAGAACAGAACAGTCTGTGATCATTAGCACCTTGATCTGAGGCCCACAGGTAGGTACTGGGAAATTTCCATGCACTTGGGCTTTTGAGGCAGACTTCCCATCTCAAAATGCCCCCCACCCCTCCCTGACTCCCTCCAGAGTCAGCTTAGACAGTATTCCTCTAGGAAATTGTTTTTGACTCCCAAGCTGAGTTGGGATCTCCTCTGGTCTCCTGCAGCTTCTCTGTGTCATATCCCCGACCACATTGGGTTTTCATTGTCTATGTGTCCATCTCCCTATTATGGACGGTGAATTCCAGGGCAGGGACAAGTCTGCCACAGAGGAGTCCTCAGCAGATGTCAGCCACACGAATGAGTGTGTGAGGCAAAGGAGTACCAGGAGCCCAGCCCTTACCCCAGACAAGTCTGCCACAGAGGAGTCCTCAGCAGATGTCAGCCACACGAATGAGTGTGTGAGGCAAAGGAGTACCAGGAGCCCAGCCCTTACGCAGCCCCTCCCCGTTCACTCCTACTCTGAGCTCCAGTCTCTGCCATACCCCAGCTCTTGGATTTGGCCTTTGGATCAAGTTCTTCTGGCAATGAAGCCTCACCTTTCCCTCAACTAACTCTGACCTGGCCTCCCCTGCTCCTGACTAACCTCAAGGATGCTGAGTATCCTTCAGCCTAACAGCTCCAGAAGCTGAACTCCAGCCCTGTGAGCCCCAGCTGCAAACAGGCCTCTGGCCAGAAGCTTAGCCAGGCTACCCTAGAGTAGCCAAAGGGTTGGCATGCCCTCTGGGCAGCCTCTGAACTGGCACTGACGATGCAGGAGTGGACAAGGTAGTCTACTTGGGTCCTGAGCCTGCAAGGTAGTTGAGACAGATCTCAAAGGAGAGTGGGCACAGTCAGAAAGGAAAAAGTGGCTCAGTGTTGCCGGGCGTGGTAGCTCACGCCTGTAATCCAAGCACTCTGGAGGCTAAGGCGGGCGGATCACCTGAGGTCGGGAGTTCAAGACCAGCCTGACCAACATGGTGAAACCCCGTCTTTAAAAAAAAAGAAAAAGAAAAAAAAAAGTGGCTCAGTGTAAAACTGACACAGCCCATGTACCAGCAGCCAACTGGATCTTTTTTTTTTTTTAGATGGGGCCTCACTATATTGTCCAGGTGGTCTTGAACTCCTGAGCTCAAGCGATCCTCCCATCTTGGCCTCCCAAAGTGCTGGGATTACAGGCATGAACCACCAGTTTGATCTTTACTGGACCCTTACAGGGCACTGAGCTAGGGAATGTTAGAGATTCAGAGGCCGAATGAGATTGTAGCCCAACCCTGAGATACAACTGAGCTACAAGCAAGAGGATGCTACTAGGCGCGGTGGCTCACGCCTGTAATCCTAGCACTTTGGGAGACCGAGGTGGGTGGATCACATGAGGCCAGAAGTTCAAGAACAGCCTGGCCAACATGGTGAAACCTCACCTCAACTAAAAATACAAAAATTAGCTGGGCGTGGTGGCACATGCCTGTAATTCTAGC